GGGGGATGCTGGCCCGCCAGCAACACATCCTTGACCCTGTTCTCTGCTGTCCCCCCGCCCGGGGTGCCCCTCTTCCACCCCAGCCGAGTGAGACAGTTGGAAGAAGAGCTGCGGACCATGGACCAGACTCTCAAATCCCTCATTGCCTCAGAGGAAGAGGTACTGGGGCAGGGGTGTGGGGCGACGCGCAGCAGCCCCCCTCTCTCTGTCGCTGTCTCTTGAACCATGCGAGCCACCTCTCTCCTCTCTGCACCGCTGCCTCCACCACCGACCTCCCCTCGCCTCCCCCTTCGGCGCGTGCAGGCTGGGCACGCTCCTCCATCCCTCCATGCCTGCTCTCCTTCTTGGCGGGGGTGGGCAGGGGTTTTTGCACGGGGCGTCCGTGTGAGGAGGCACGAGGAACGGATGAACGGATGCGTACCAGCAGCTCCCGCTCGCAGCGGTTCTGCTCCTTCTCCACCTGCGCTGAGTTTTCTCCTCTCTCAACTTGTTCTCTTTCTTTCTTTCCTCCTTCCCCGCACCCGCACTTTCTGCTCCCCCCTCTCTCCTCCACCTGCCCCTTGGCCCTGCTCCCCCTTCTGGCGGCCCCTGCTTGGGATGTAGTAAATGTGGTGACCTAGAGGAGGAGCTGAAAATTGTCACCAACAACTTGAAGTCCCTGGAGGCCCAGGCTGACAAGGTAGGACCCAGAGGGGCTCCTGGGGCTGGGCAGAGTGCGTGGGGTCTGGGGGTGCTGGGGTCTCCTGCTGGGGTGAAGGACGGCTGGAGGCATCCCGTGGGGTTCACGGGCACCCGTCTCTGTCTCTGCAGTATTCCACCAAGGAGGACAAGTACGAGGAGGAAATCAAGCTTCTAGGGGAAAAACTGAAGGAGGTAAGGGGTGCGGGGCCAGCACTGCATCGGTGCAGGCATGAATTTGCCATCCCATGTGGGTTTTGACCCTGTTATGCCTGTGTCCTCTCACTCTTCCCAAAACTGCAGCCCTGCAGCGTGGCAGGTGCCTGGGTTTGGGATACCCCTGTGGAGGATCAGCCTCCTCTGGTTTAGGGCGTGGGGGGTCCTCGAGGCCCTTGTCGCTTGCCTTTCCCAGGGGGGG